GCCGCCTCGCCGCCGTCCAGGGGCGGCCGCCGTCGGCCCTTGGGCTCCTTACTGAGCAGTCCCGAGAAGCTGGAGCCGAAGATGCTGATGAGGCTGGCCACGTTGCTCGTCTCCATGTCCTCCTGCTCGCCCGGCGGCGAGGGCGGCGGCGGTGGCGGCTCCTCTTCCTCGCGGCGGGGCTTCTTCACCGGGGATCCCGCCTGGCCGCGCTCGCCGGCGCTCCGCTTGCGGGGGCAGTGCGGCGGCGGGGGGGCCCCGGCGCAGCCCCCGCGGTTCTCCTCGCCGCAGCAACAGCGCCGCGGCCGGGGGCCCTGGCAGTCCCTGCCCGCCTCGTCCTGCGGGGGCGGCGGCGGCGGCTCGGCCGCCCAGGCAGCGGTGCGGGGCGCCGGCTCCTCCTCGGGGGGCCGCGCGGCGGCGGCGGCGGGGGGCGGCTCGGGCGGGCAGCCCGGCTCGCTCAGGTAGACCTGCCGGGCGCTGCGCAGCACCAGCGACACCAGGAGGTTCTTGTGCAGCTTGAGGCCGCCGCGCTGGCCCCGCGCGCTGTAGATCTTGCCCAGCGAGATGCTGACGATGCGGTGCGCCTCCAGCTTGAACTCCATGGGGGAAACCGGGTGGGCGATGGGGGGGTTGGTTTCCGCGCCGGCCGAGGTGGTCGGGGGTTGATCCGCAGCACAACCCAGCACCGCTCGCCGCCCCTTCGCGCCGCAGACTGAGCGAGCCCACGCGCCCGCGCGCCTTTTATACCGCCCCCGCCTCGGCCAATCAGGGCGCGCCGCCGGCCGCTCCAACCGCCGGCTGGCCCCCGCGCGCGCGCGCCGGCCAATGGCAGCGCGGGGCAGCGCGTTCGAAAGCTCGCCCCGCGGAGAGGGCGCTTAAAGCGGCAACGCCGGCGGGCGGTGGGGCCCACACCCGCGGCGGCACCCCCAGCTTTCGCTGAACCCCGCACGGGCTCGGCCAGAGCGACCGGCGGCCGTGGGGGTTTCGGCCGCAGCGGCTGAAACGCTCCTGCGAAAAAAAAAAAAAAAAGAAAAAAATAAAAACAAACCTGTTTTGTCGGGTTAGAAAGGTTTCCCGCAATTTCAGCCCGTCTCTGACATCTTGTCGTGTTAGAGAATGAACTGGTGTTGGTGTTGGCTGGAGGGGGAAATGTGTCTTTTAGTATTTCAAGGAAAATCTGCCCTGACATGGAGCAGAAAGCCATCCCTGCCCAGCTGCCAGGCGGAATTCTGCTCCAGGGGTCTGGCAGCGAAGCTTGCAGAAAGCCCAGGGTAGAAGAGGTTGATTCACAAAGTGGCTACAAGGGAGGATTGGGGAGGATAACAGGCCATCAGCATCTCCAGGGGTGATGGGGATCATGACAGACTGGAGCACTTTATTTGGGAACTGAAACCTCACTTGGTTGTAGCTGTGAGGGCTGGTGGCAGGACCAGCCTGGTGGCTGGGGAACACAGGGAACAACACAGTTACCCCCAGACACAGCTCCAGGCACCAGAGAATCCTCTAAAAAAGCCTGGAGGGTATTTCAGGGCTTGGAGTGGGGACCCTCCTTCATCCACCGGGAGTAACCACCACTTGCAAGAAGAGAAGTGAAAGGGCCCAAAATTAAGGAAGTTCAATGTGCCGCCCCTGAGAATCAGTTTCTGTTCCCAGTGACACATGACAACTCACTTTGATCCCTTTTTTCCCAGGGGATTAAACCATAGACTCCCCCAAAGGAAAGCCACAGCCTGTCATGGTGTTTTACCAGCAGGATCTGCCACCATGTCCTGGTTTGCTGGAAGGACAAGAGGGCGGCTGTCACAGTGGTAACAAAAAACAGGTGAAGATTCAGGCACACCAAAACAGAGTTGACATAACAAGAGCCTTCTCCCCAGAAAAAAATCCCACACTCAGACCAAATGCATGTTTTCCTCCTGCTCAAGCATAGCTTGAGGAAAACCTCAAATGACACTCTCTGGGTGTGGGATACAACAGCAGGTCAACCTGGGGTTTGACATCTCAAAATGCCCACCTCCTCCACCAAACCTGCCACGCTGTCTGAAACGACTAGACCAGAGCATTCCCAACCACACAGCCAAAACACTGTCCAAAACAGCTGGTCCCAGCTTTCCCCCTGCCCACACCAGGGCGAGCCTCTCCCGACCGCAGGGAGCAGGGCTGTCCCCTCCACACCCGGCGTGGGAGGCCGAAGGGATGCGAGTCCCAGTGGTGGGAACCAAGGGATCCCAGACCCGCCAAACCTGCTCCCCGCACCTCGGAGGGCCGGCAACACCCTGGCCTAAGCCCTCGGGTCAGTCTAACCAGCCAGGGCAGGTCTGGGCTCAGATGTTTGGGACTGCAGTCACGGCTCCTGGCCCGCAGCCGGCACGTCTGCTTGCCACCCATGTCCCCTCAGTGACACAATGTTCTGCCGTGCTGCTGGAAAGAGGCTTGTACATCAGCAGGTGTGTTGCCCTGGGACTGCTGTTTGCAGGATCTGGGCACCTGCATCCTCAAGCAGAGGTGATCTGGGTCAGAAGGATAAAGTCAGGTTTGATCCGTCTCAGCCACATATATCCCAGCTCAGATGCTGGATGAAGAGCAGCAGTGCAAAGTCATCACACCGGCTGGAAAAAGCCGCGTGCAGGTGGAGGAGACGTAGCGTGGGAGCTCTGCTGGGTGAAGGTGCCTGGATCCGAGTGGATTGACCTGTTCTGCTGCTCACCACCTCACCCCGATGGCATGAGGCACCATTTCTCTCCAGTCACTGCACTTTGGCTACCTACTCTGCCTAGGAACAGGCGGGCCGGCATCCTCTCCCTGCCTTGGCCCAGGATTAGCAGGATGGGGATGGGTACCGAGTGGTCCCTCATTCCCCTCAGTGCTCATACAGAGAGCCAGCAGGGAGGAGCAGAGGTGCAGGATGTCAGACAAGCAGCGCTTGTACCCACTACCACCAGTTTCACCCACCAGCACCGTGCCTGTCTGTCAGGCACAACCCCCAGCACATTATTCCCAGGGCACAAAAGCCTTGACATATGCCTTGCCCCTGCCCTTTGCAAAGAGGTGGAGTGGTGATTTTCTTTCCCTGGAGGAGAACCAAGGAAGGGAAAGGGGGGAGAGGACAAGCAGCAGCACAGGCAGAGGCAGCCCCGGCAGCGAGCAGGCAGCCGGTTGAAGCCTGGCGGTATTTTGGTGGCAGCCCTGCCGCTCCCTCCCAGGCTGATGTCATGCTTTAGTAAGTTTGAGGCAGTCACATGGCTGCTTCTGAGGTCAGTGCCTGGGGTGGCTTTGTCTGCCTGCCTGCTCTGAGCTCCTGCCTGCCCTGGGCTCCTGCCTGCACCCGGAGCGGCCTCGCTGGCAGGTGATCCCGCTGGGGTTGCCCTCCGAACAGGGCACCCCTGTGATACCCACGGCTTGGCATCCTCGTGATTCCCACAGCTGGGCACGGCGTGGGAGCCGTTGCCTCGGTGGGACCAGCATCCCGGGCGGTTGGATGCACCTCGTGTCCATCCATCTGCCCGCAGGAGGGGCACTGCCCCCCATCCTGCCGGGTCAGGGGGGGATACGGGAGAAGGAGGCGGAGGGAAGGGTGTGACGGGCGCTCTAATCTCCTCATGTGATCCAAGCGGGCTGGAAAGGGGTTTGACGAACAATTAACAATCCTCCGGCTCAGCTGCTGTTTCCCGAAATAGCTCTGGCAGGAGGAGGAGGAGGGCGGACGGGCTGGCTGGCAGACAAAGGTGGCCTCTCCGCCAGCAAGCTGCGGCCGGCAGAGCCTGCAGAGGAGGCAGCCCCGGAGGCCGAGCAGCGGGGAGCCCACGGCCCCACCTGGAAAGGAAAACAAAGCGAGATAAAAGCAGCTCGAGGGAGGAAGCAGCTTGTGGTACAAATAATAATTGCAGAGGGCTGCGCGCACACCACCGGGTGTTTTCGGAGGCGTTTAAAGTCGCCTTCGACGGCGAGCAGAGGAGGTCGGCGCCGGGAAGCTCGCTGGGGGTTCGTGCGGTTGCATCTTGGCCGGGAGCAGCGTGGGATGCCGGGGCTGCATCCACAGCCGGCTGCCTGCATCCCCAGCTCTGGCGGCACCGTGGTTCTCCCGTCCCCCGTCCCCCCCCCCCCCAGCCCCATCCCACGCGGCGGCAGCGTGGCTGGAGACCGTCCTGGCACGGCCATCTGGTGCACAGCACGGCCACCCCGACCTGCAGCCGTGGGATGCGGATGTGGTTAGCGAGATCCTGTTCCGACAGCGGCGCCTGTCCCCCTCCCCACACACCCCCCACCAGCCCCTCCCTGTCACCAAATGTGTGGCCCAGGCCCCAGGGGGAAGCCATATGCAGTAAAGAGGTGGAAAACCCTCCTGGTAGAATGGACAGTGAAATTAAGGTCTCCTCAAAGCACAGGTTGAACTCATCCATCACTTCCCTTGGCTGTCTCAGCACCACTGCAGTGCATCGGCCCCTCTCTCTTCAATTCGGACCAGGATTTGTGCGTTAGACCCTTCCTGGGAAGAGGTTGGGAACAAATCAACCAGATATTCCTCACTAAAAGTAGGGTTGGGGCTACAGCCTTTGCACCAGCAGCTGCCTGCAGCAAAAACAGAGCTTCAGGACAGCCAAAGCCCCAGGGAGATCCAGGCACATCCCCAGCGATTGCTGACGTAAACGAAACAGGACAGGGAGGAACATTTCCAAATGGGAATCCATCCACAGCTTGAGTTCATTTCTGGATGGGAATAAACATCTGAATTGTGAGAGACCCATGCAGCGCTCAGGAGGTGGAGGAGGAGGGTTGTTGTGGTTGGGTTTTTTTCCAGAAATATCGATGATTCGCATGGATGCGGTCTGGACCTGCCGCAATCGGATATCGGTAACTAATCCCCCAGGGCTCCCAACTGCTCTGGTTTATCCCTGCTTGGAGATAAGGTCAGAAGAGCTGGGAAACATCCCAAAACACAGCCAAGAGTACCGACCACTATCGCTGTTGAATGAAAACCAAACACAAGCGAAACAAACACAAACAAATCGATACAGACCTAAACCCAAAGGACAGGAAGCAGCTCTGTCACCTACCCCGAAACCACTGTGAGGTGTGAGCCTGCAGCACAGCCATGTACTAGAAAGCAAAGGGTTTTTCCGGAGTTAAAAACCCCTTCCCATCGACAGAGATTATAGTGTTGATACCCCAGGCAGGCAGGACTCTCTCCTATGCATCTTTGGTTTTTTTCCCAGTGACCTGGGATTCCCCCTTTTCCCCCTACATTAATGATTTAAAATTTCCCTTGCCTCGCTCTGAGACACAGGCTTGGGATTTCCCTCCCGTCCTCTGGAGACTTGTGACTCGGAGCCCTTGCCCAGCAGATATCCTGCTACTCCTCCTGCAACCTCTCCAAACACAAAGGGGGAAAAAAAACCCCACTCCCAGCTATCAGCTTCTTCAGGCAGCCGTTTCCCTTGGAAAAATATGGCCCCATATCTTTCAGTGGCTTATGGAACTGGTTTGGGTTTCCTGGGGAAAAAAATGCATTTATTTGTCCGGGGTTTCCTATCAGACAACCCTTCTATTGTAGTCCACCTTCCTGTATGTTTTTTTCCCTCTCTGATACGCCTGCAATGGGTCCTGTCCCGTTTCCAAAGGCTGCCTTGTGTCCAGGGGGAAAAGAAGCAGGACAGCTCTGGGATGCAGCCCAGCAGATGATCCTCTGGCTTCCCAGCCCAGCCGGTGGTTTTCACTGGAGTGATTTGCTCCCGAGCAAACTCTGTGCTGGAGAAGGCGGCAGCCTCGGCGGCTGGGGTTAAACATCCCCAATTAATCACGAGAACTCCGCGCAGAGCCAGCTGCAGTCACAGTTCAGCAATCCACAGGGTACATCCTCTGCCCAGAGGAGTCTCAGCCTAATTATTTTTTTTTTCTCTCTCCCTGTATCTCAATGTCACCTTCCTTGTAGCCATCGGGCAAATGACAACCACAGCCCTCTGCACGCCCCAGAGTGCAGATGTGTCCTCTGTGCGACTGCTTCCCGCTTGGGCCTGATGGGGAGGCTGCACAATGATGCTCTGGAGCCACGGAGCTGTTTGTTATCCTAGGAGAGGCTGCCCGCTCCACTTCCCGCTTCCTTCAAGGACCCCCAGGGGGATCAGGGTCTTTGGGACTTGCCAGAAAATCACACCACAGAATAGCAACCACCACCGAGAGCAGCAAGAGCAGAGCAGATCCTCTCCAAGGGCAGAGCAGATCCTCTCTGTCGAATCCCTCCTCCCACCATCAAGGAGAACTGCAAAATAAAACATCTGTGTCTGCCAGCAGGCATTGACTGCCTCTGTTCCTGCTGATCTGTGCCCCTTCCCTCTTGTAAGGACCTTCCTCCAGCTGCCTCATCCTTCACCTGGTTTGTGGGGAGCCTGGAATCCTGGAGAGGTCATCCATGGACACAGGGATAACAAGAAAGATTATAGGGAAAGGCTGCTGGAGAAAAGTTCCTTCCAATTTCACTCACCCCTATAAGTAACAAGCACTCCAGCAGTCCAGCACCTCACTAGTCCTGCAATTTAACAACCCTTTTTTGGATCCAGGTACGGTCTCAGCATCCCTGGCATCCCATGGCAGGCAGGGATTCACCCTGCAGAAAGCAGTGCCACCTTTCCCCAATTTCATTTCCCCTTTTCACCTTCATTAAATAACCGATTGCTCATGCACTGCAAAGAGGAAAATTAATTTTCTCCAAAACAACCCTTATTCTGAACAGTCTCCCTGCATCCTAACATGAATTATCACGTTGCATTTACTCATTTGTGCCGTGTTTGATGGCATTTTTACTGCTTTTGTCCAGATGCCCTGTCAGTCTGTGCTGCACACAGGCCTGGCACTGTTAGGAACCCAGCTGAGAGTATGGCTGTGGCATGGAACCAGCTCTGCTAGACAGCGAGAGCCCACGAGAGACAGCACCCAGGAGAAGCTTTGGTCAGGCTTCTCTCCTTCCTAGACAACTGCAAGGCTAAGGAGACCTGCTCTATCAGCTCCACCTGGAGCATCCAGCATCCAAGCCTTCTTGGCAAGGAGCAGTCACCTCTCATCATCTTGTTTCTTCTTTTAACACCTCGGAGCTGCCCCCGTAGGTCACCGTGTCACAGGCTGGGCCTCGTGTCATCTGTTCCCTTTGTGCCTCTCAGTGAAACCTCCAAGGATTTGTGAAAAATTAGGTTCAGGACAAACACAGAGAGGCCACGAGTGGGTAGGATTTGATGAAAACCCTCAGGATTTGATGTAAACCCTCACTGTCCACCACACCCCTGAATATTTAGCTACAGACCAGTGTTTTGTATCATTATCACTGTCTTAATCCTCTTAAAAATCACCACTGAAAATTTTCAATTTTCACTGAAAATGCAAACAAGGACGAAAAACACCAAAGCGTCTGAAACTCTTTATCACTTCTTCTTTTAGCTGTAAAACTTTTTCAGGGGGGAGGGGGGAAGTCCCCTCTACTTTCATAAATCCAAATTCAAACCAATGCAGCTTTTCCCCAAGAGGAAAAGCCACCAAACACATATTCTTCGCACCAGGCTGGTATGGGATCACACACACACACCTCCCTGTGCATGTACACACACGCCACAAAGATTTTCCTGATAAAAGTTCCAGGGAGCCCAACTCTTTCCTGCAGACAGCTGGGATTTTGATGAGTTGGCACTTTTTGGTGCAGAAGTGTTTCATCAGATCTTTCCTGACCAGTTCTGCAGCTGTGTGCCGTGCACCCAGCGCTCCTCTCCCAGGAGGAATAGGTTAGCTGAGCATTCTGAAAAGCTCCTGAAACTCTCCTCGCTGCTTCCGAGCCCAAAATCAGAGCTTCCCACAAGGAACATGCCCTCCTTCTAAAAAATACGTAGCTGCACAGTTGGAGTGGCTTTCAGGCAAAAATCTAAATAATTTACTACATCACATAAATTAATTTCCAGCATCAAAGACCAGGTTGTCTTTTTTTATTCCTGGAAAGTTTGCAACTTCCCTAAATTTCAGTAAATAAACCACCTTACCTTCAGCCCTCAACAGCTCTGTGAAGCTGTACACTTTTTCACAAATGGACTCGATGATCTTAGAGGTCTTTTCCAACCTAAATGATTCTGTAAAAAAAGAAATCGTTTTCAATTAAGTGAATAAAGTACTCACATAATTTATTAAAGGATTTCTGAAATTCTTAACTACTAACTCTAAGAGGCTACGGGAGCTTTTCCCTTTTTCATTTCCAATGCAATGAATGTTTCAGGTGATGCACATGCAGAAGTCATGGGAGGATCATGAGGCTTTGGGGAGTGTAAGGCCTTTGGGGGACAGGGACAGACAAACTGGCCCAGTGACTCCTTGGCACTCTGTTTGTTCCTGGAGGGAACCTCCCATGCTCAGCACACGTTTGGCAGGGACATCCCAAAACCTGCCAGCGTGGGAAAACCATCCAAGATGAGGCAAGGAAGGGCCAGCAAACACCAGCCCTAAAGCTGCCACCTATTGCACCACACCTGGTGTGGGGCTGGCCGGAGCAGGAGGAGTATTTCTCACCCCCTAAAACTTGCAGAAACCGGTTCAACATGTGCCACAGCCTTCCCACCCCACACCGGTGAGGAAAACTGCTGGGATTGCAAAAGCCAGGTATCCAGTTCCCATGCTGAGGAGGCACCTCTGCCAGTGGGGTTTGTGCCCATTCCCTCAGTGAACTGGCACTGCCTTTGCTCAGCATGCTGGACCACTGCCATGTTTGGGAAGCGCAGGCAGGGGTGTGCACTTCGGTCAAAATGCAGGGCAGTCCTCCTGGCCAAGCCTCTGCAAAATCAATCGTTGTGCCAGACTGTCCCATGGGAGTGAGGCAGGGACATCCCTTTGCAGAGGGGTCTCTGCTGTGTGGATGTGGATGGGCACATCCCCCAGCACTGCAGGCTCCATTCCCCTCCTGCCAGCTGCTCCAAGCCCAGGGCTACCTGTGCTCGCAGCTGTCAGAGCCCAGAGATTTAGGAGAGGTGGGAATGAGGGAGGGAGGGATCCTCACCCTGGGATGGACAAAAGCCAAGTGGTACAGGGCTGTTCTAACCCCAAACAAGGCAGGAGGAAGGAAGCAGTGCCTGTGCCCTCCCAGGGAAGGAAGGGCAGCAGGAGCCGAGCAGACTGCCTGTAGCTCCCTCCTTTTTCCTCCCACACTGGCTGGGAACACGGGCTGGATGAGCTGCTCCTCCTGGGAATGGGGACCCCAGCCCAAGGGCAGGATGGGACCCCACAGTGCCAAGACTCCGGCACGTAGGGTGAGAGGGATGTGGGGCCTCAGAATGCTGCAGGGAGAGCTGTTGGAGCTTCCCTGTGGCTGGAAGTTTCCCCTCCTTCTTGGCAAGTGCATATTACTCATTTTATCAGCTAGGATAGCAAATTAACAAGGAGTGAGAAAGGTACCTCCAATGCAGGGTACAGAATAGAAATGAGCAATAGGTGGAGGAAAACCTTTCAGCAGGAGATCCCTGTGCCTGTGCAGAGCAGGCAAATGGTTGGGAACCCTTCTTTTTCTGGATTATCTCCACGCTTGGGCACAGGTTTTTGTGACGTGACCGATGAACCTGGGTGAAGAGGCTGGCTGGCTGGCTTGTATGAGGTTTGTAAGACTGCAAATCCTGCGAGGGAGAAAAAAGTTACTGTCCTGGCTTTGGCATAAAGCACAAAATGTCCTCCACACAAAATAGTCTGGCATGGACAATACAGCTGCTAACTCCAGGTGTGTGAGGAGATGGTGGTTGAACTCCTTACCTCACTTCCTCTCTTCACTAAGAAGGCTGCTTTTTGTTCTTCTTTTTTTTTTTTTTTTAATTAACCTTATAAATCCACATAACACAAGGAATAGGACATACACCGCCTTCTGCGCTGTCTTGCTGGTGGCACAGTGATGGCGGTGATTCAGTCTGGGCACTGTTGTGGGAAGGCACTAGGTAGGAATATGGAACCACCTCTGTCATGATAGGGCTGCTGAGACTCGGGCATCCAGGGAAGTGATCCCACCCCTCTACTCAGCCCTGGCAAGGCCACATTTGGAGTACCGTGAGCAGTTCTGGACTCCACAGTATAAGAGAGACATGGAGCTCCTGGAGCAGGTCCAGTGGAGAGCTACTGAGTTGGTCAAGGGTCTGGAGAATCTCGCTTAGGAGGAAAGGCTGAAGGAGCTGGGCCTGTTCAGCCTGGAGAAGAGGTGACCGAGAGAGGACCTCATCAATGACTGTATCTGAAGGGAGGGGTCAGAGGATGGACCGGGCTCTGCTCAGTGGTGCTGATTCATAGGGCAAGAGGCCACGGGCAGACACTGATCCACAAGAAATTCCACCTCACCACGAGGAAGAACTTCTTTACTGTGCACTGGAACAGAGACTAGGGAGGGTGTGGAGTCTCCCTCACCGAAGATATGCCAGAACCGCCTGGACACAATCCTGTGCCATGTGCTCTCGGATGACCCTGCTTGAGCAGGGAGGTGGGACCAGATGACCCGGAGTGGTCCCTTCCCGCCTGACCGATTGTGTATGTGATTACGCGGCTGTGAGGAACCCCGGGACGAACTGCGGGATCTTCCCTGGCACAGCCGGGGCCGCTCCACGATCCCGCCGGGACCGCCCCCCGCGCGCCATGGCGGAATGACGTCACCAGACCACGCCCCTATAGGCGGTGCTGCGGGGGGCGTGTCCTGATGGAGGCGTGACGGGGGCGGGGCCTGACGGGGGCGGGGCCTGTGGGCGGCCGTGGCGTGAGGCGGCGGCAGCGCCATGTCGATGGAGGACCCCTTCTTCGTGGTGAAGGGGTGAGTGCCGCCCGCGGGGGGCTCCGGGGCACGGCCGGGGCGACGGGGAAGGGGCCGCGGGCGCTCCCGGGCGGGGAGCGGGCAGGCGCGGCCGCCCCGCAGCGCGGGAGGCCCGCGGAGAGGGGAGCGATCGGCGGGCAGGGGTCTCTGTGTGGGGGGGAAAATGGCGGCCGGGCCCCCCCGCGCTGCCGAGGGGCTGAGTGTGGGCACCGCGGGGGTCCGGCGGTGGCGGCCGGGCACGGGAGGCGCCGGGGGCAGGCGGGCAGGGGTCGGGCCGCGGCTGGGCCTCCCCGCGCTCCGCGGGGGCACCCCGGCCCTGGCTGCAGGTGCGGCCCCGCGGGCAGCGGGCACCGCGGGCTGGCGGCTCGGGGCTGGGAGCCCCGGGGGACTGCGGTGTCCCTGGGGGAAGGGGGAGAGGAGCGGGGACCAGGCTGTGGGACGGACAATGGCCGTGAGAGGAAGCGAGCGGAGAGGAGACGGAACCCAGGCAAACACAAAGGTGGTCAAAGGGAAAATTATTCTTAATAGGGTAAAAGCCGCTCGGTTGGAGCTGCTGGAGAGAGTCCAGCAGAGGCCACAAAGATGATTTGGGGTCTGGGGCATCCCTCTAATGAGGAGAGACTGCAGGAGCTGGGCCTGTTTAGTCTGGAGAAGAGAAGGCTGAGAGGGGATCTCATCAATTCACATAAATATCTCAAAGGTGGGTGCCAAGAGGCTGGTGCCAGACTCTGTTCAGTGGTGCCCAGCAGCAGGATGAGGAGCAATGGCCATGAACTCAAAGACAGTAAGTTCCACCTCAATATAAGGAAGAACTTCTTTACATTGAGGGTGGCAGAGCCCTGGAATAGGCTGCCCAGGGGAGTCGTGGAGTCTCCTTCTCTGGAGACATTGCAAACCCACCTGGACACATCCTGTGTCACCTGCTTCAGGTGATCGTGCCTTGGCAGGGAGGTTGGACTGGATGATCTCCAGAGGTCCCAACTCCAGCTGTTTTGTGATTCTGGGAAAGCACTGCAGTCTCAAAACACAGCCCCGGGGCCACCTTCAGCTTTGGCTGGGGGATGGTCTGCTCCATGTCACAATATAACAGCACCGAGGAGCAGCAGAGAAGTTCATAGGGGGGTGATGGGGAGTGCAGGAGGTGTGGGAAGGGATGCTGGTGCAGCCAGGGAAAGTGAGTCCCTCTGCCAGGTTGAAACAGTGCTAAGGGGAAAAAATAGGAGTTGCCATGGGTGGGGAGCAAATGTCCTGTCAGACTTTCCAGAGAGATTCCTGCGGCATTTGGGGAAGGGCAGGGAGGGGAGAGGGGATGTGCTGCCGCTCCCAGAGTTAATTATTACCTGGCAGGTCTGAGGGGCTGGTGGTTGTGGAGCCAACCAGAGTTGCATTTAGCTTGCTTTCCTGGTGTCTGTAACTCTTCCCGTCGGAGGACATCCAGCTCTGCTTTACATTCCTGCTTCTGAGTACTTCCACAAGTGTGTTCAGGTGAAAAAAAAAAACAAAACACCACCACAAAACCAAAAGCACTGCTGGCAAGTAGAGTAGGGAATGAAGTTTTCCAGATCCTCAGTGTGGGTTGCTGACTTTAGGGCACTCGATGTGGCAGACTCGGAGCCGTGGGCGTGCGGGAAGAGGAGGGGCACGCACTGAGGCGCTGAGAGCTGCAGCTCAGATAGCAGTTTGAGGACTTCAGGCCCTGGTGTAACAGTGAGAGCTGCAGTCCTGGCACCCCTGCAGGGTGTGGGCTCATCTCATCTGTCCTGAGCTTCTCCTGGTGTTAGCCTGCTTTCCTTCACCGGGGTGAAACACCTGCATCTGACATGGATGCTGTGTGCAAGCTCATGGTGGCCACCTTTCACACCAGCACAGTCTGGTCTCAACTTCATCCCAAGTCCCTGAGTTCACAGCTCAGGATCCCAGAGTTTGTAAATACAGATAACCACACTGAGGGCCCACCACCCAAATTTACAAACCTGCTTGCCCCAGAGCAGTGCTGTCAGCAAAGTCTTCCCCTGCTGTGAATGCACTCGTCTCCAAAAGAGCTTAGAGCAGCAGAAAAAACTTGTGTTCCCTAAGCCAGCATAGTAGGGCTGTGTATTTTTTTAAATGCTGAATTAAAATAAACAGTGCTGCACTCAACAGTCTGCCTGGCTGTGTTGTGGGGACAGTTCCTGTAACTCTGTGTGCCCTTGGGGTATCTTACACGGGTAGTCAAGAGCCTTCAGAGGAAAACTGTTGAGAGGAATGCAAAACATGGATTGCCAAAGAGCTGCCTCTTTCAGACCCTCTGCCCTGGCTTGCCCGTGTGACACTTCCCCTGAAGAAATAGGTCTCTTCATTAATAGCTGTAAGTTGTTGCTGCTCAGTACCTTGTGCTGCAGCAAGAGACAGGATTGTCCAGGAGGTAGGGCAAATCCTTATTTTACAAACCAAACTAGTTGTTTGAAGGAAAGATGTTTGGGAGGAAGCCGTAGCTTCCCTGCTCAGCTGGACACGGGACTGTCCCAGTGTCACTGCTGCGGGGCAGCTGATGATAATTCCTTGGCTTCTCTTCACTCACCCCGGCTGCAGGGAGGTGCAGAAAGCCGTGAACACTGCCCAGGGGCTCTTCCAGAGGTGGACAGAGCTCTTGCAGGATCCCTCCATCGCCACAAGAGAAGAAATCGACTGGACCACAAATGAGCTCAGGAACAACCTGCGGAGCATCGAGTGGGACCTGGAAGACCTGGATGAAACCATTAATATCCTTTCTGTGGTCCTTTGGAGGTAGGGGCTTGTGGTTCCCAAGCTGTACTAAATCCCCAAGTACCAGTGCTTGCCATTTTTTGCAGAAATCAGGACTGTTTGGGATTGAATTTAACATTTACATTAGCTCTTCTCAAACTGCAGATGAAAAATTAAGGCAAGGATTTTCCCCTTGCTTTTTTGTTTCCCTTTTTACAAGGTATATTCTAAGATGCTTTGTTCTAGAAAGCCTATTGTGTTGTATGAATCTGGATTTCTGCGGAGTCAGTCATACCCTAGGCTGGCTTCCAGAAATACTCCTTTTCCCTTGTGTTCATCTGAGCGCTCCTGAAAGCGCTGCACAGCATCACAGAACCAAAAAAAAAAAACATGGAAAGGAGGAACCTACCGCTGGTGCACGGTACATTCCTGCCATGCCTGTTCTTCCGTCCAGTGTTCTGTACTTCGCTAATCAAATTTTGGGAACGGGCACAGAACAATGGCCACTTGGCACGCTGGGGGTTTTGTGTGTCCGTGTGTGCACCCAACACCACTTCCGGGGACTCCTTGACTCGCTGCCCACGCATTGTTGAGGCAAACCCGCGGAAATTCAACCTCGATGCGACGGAGCTGGGCATCAGGAAAGCCTTCATCACCAGCACACGGCAGGTGGTCAGGGTAAGGAATGTGGGCTTGGGGCCAGAGCCTGGGGAAGGTAGAGGGGTTAAAAAAAGATGGTTAAAAAAGGCAAACTTGGGAGCAGAGAATAAACCTGCTACCTGCTCTGTGCCAGACTTCCCCCTCTTCCCCGTGCGCTCCCGCCTGGGGCTGCCCAGGTGGGTTTGGGAGTGCGGGTGTCTCGTGGCATTCCCTCCTTTTCTGCTGCTGTCCCCGGGAGTCTTCACACCTCTCTTACAACAGTGAGCCTGGGAATGTGTAGTAACTGGGGGGGAAGAGTAAAGACCCCGCTGTGATGCAGGGGAGGCTGAAGCCTCCCTTCAGAGTTTAGGGAAATCACAACTGTCCTGACCACTTGTAGCACTAGTTTTCAAAAATAGGGAGACCACTTTAAACACTGGCAGATGGTTAAAGCCTGGCGTTATTGACGTGGTGACTTCAACTTCCTACCCCTGAAAAATAGTCCAAGCAACCACTAGATTTATTTTTAACTCAAGGAGGATTTTTTTTTTAGTTTAAGATCACACTTCAGAAGCAAAAAGGGGATTTTAACAACTTGGTAGCAATAAAAAGAGAAGAAATGTCTTCCCCAAAGCCTCACTGCCTGGTAACAAGCTGCTAGTTAGGAAGTTTTCTCTCTATTAATAGCTGCACTGAGTTTCTGCTGCCCCTCATGACTCTGATGTTCCTGCTCCACAGAATGCACTGCTGTGGCTGGCAGCAGGCTTGTAACCCCACCTGCAGTCCTGCGGTCTGGGTGCAGTTCCTAAGGCTTACCTGGGAACTGATCCCGAAACCTCGCTGGCCCCAGGCAGCAGGCATGTGCTCACTGCCTTGCCCCTGCTGTGGTCCACTCCCAAACAGGCAGGATCAGGCAGGTCTGCTCTCTGGTCCTCTTTACCTGGCTGAAAACTGCTGGCTAATGGCTTTTGGAGCGATGTCTCCTACTGGTAAATGAAGCTGGTTAGTGGCAATGTGCAGCTGACTTCCAGTTTTCGGGGAGGAATTCGTGATGTGCAGCAGCACATGCATTATTAGCCAGTGAGAAGTAACCAATGGGATCTGGTGCTCTTGAGTGATGAGTTGCACATCTCTGAACAGTAAAACACACCTGAATGCTCTGATGACATCAGAACTGTGCTGGTGGATCAGCCTCTGCCAGATCGTGTTGACTACTTGCTAACCTATAAAAACTAGACTATGTTATGTTGAGATGGGGAGCCTTCTGTGGTTAGTGACCTTCTGCAGGAATTCCACAGCAAAAATTAATTGGTAAGGAGAAAACCTAGGCACAGACAGAGAGGTTGGCCACACGACAGGAAACCTACCTCATCCTATGCAATATAAAACCTGGGAACAAAGCACAGGGGTTTACAGGCTTCCAAGGCCTTAACAAACATTACTCTTCCTTACGCTCTATCAATGGGAATATTAGTTTATTGTACAAATCAAAGTGTTTCTGGTTGTAGTAGAGCAAAATGAGCAGTAAATAAGGAATATTATCAAAACATCCCATTGCCATTGGTTTTAGCATTAGTAGAACAATATGAACTGCAATGAAACTTTCTACGATATCTTTCCAGACTCTTCAAAACTGTACATTCTCAAAGAAAACCTCCCTTCCCTTGCTGGGTACAGACAGCCCTGTAACACCCTGGAACTGCCTGTCACCTCAAATCCAGTGCTCACATGCTGCTTCTTTTGTTGAACAAACAGGATATGAAGGATCAGATGTCGAACTCCTCCATGCAAGCGCTGGCTGAAAGAAAAAACAGGCAGGTGAGAGCCAGAAACAGGCAATATATATCTGTTACAATGTATATCCTGTCTGTAGTTGATTCCCTTACAAACCTTTGTTCTGGGAAGGGGTTTGCACGTGGGGGCCGAGCTGTATGTTTGAGCTGGGTCTGCTTGGCTGACCTGGGAGAGCTGGTTCTCACAGGCACGTTGGTGCCACCCTTTTCCAAGCCTGTCTCTCAAAGCAGTAAGTCAGCACTCGCCATCTCTCTGTGTCTTCAGATCTAGTTGTGTACAACTGTCACCGTTGCATCATCCCTTGGAAAGGGAAATCTCCCTCCTCCTCCTCGGGGGGAGCCGCCTCAGAATCCATGTCAGTGAATGTAATCCTGCTCTCTGCTGGATTTAGGAGCCAAGATGGTGCAATATCCTTTTGCACAGCTGCCTCCCATAATAGCCATGTGAGAAGATGGAAGAAGCTCAAGGAATCTTGAGTTGTCTGCGCTTGTAATCTAAGGCACAGAACTAGATGCAGCTTGTGTTCCTTCCTGGCTGACAGGGAGGCTGTAAGGAGATCCCAGAGTTGACTTCCAGAGCCATCTCAGTAAAGCTGGTGTGCACAGTTCACTTGTCTGTTCTGCATCAGCCTTACCACCTGTGGCAAAAACAACAAACTGCAACAAGCCACTGAGAAGCAGAGAGCTGGTTCCTGAGCTTGTCACAGGGCTAATTGATGTGCTTAGCAAACACTCGAGGCAGCAAAGTCCCTGGCACCCTTGCTCAAACAAGCCTGTAGCTTTCCCTGGGATTTGTTGCTTCCTTTTGCACAAGGTTCCTGCTGGCCGTGGGAGACCATATGGCCCAGCTCACATGGCGACATCTGGTCAGGAAAACTGACTTCCCCTTGCTGCCTTCCTCTCCCTTCCCAGCCCCTCGCCTTCCCTCCAGCCCAGAAGGCTCATGCTGGGCTGCAGGGGCTGCTGGACTCCATGTCTGAGAACATAGAGACCGTCTAGTTTTCAACCTGACAGAGCAACCTGGCTGTTGTCTTGCTTTCCTTCACAAATACTCAGTCATCCCCTCCTGCCCACGAGCAGGGGCTGCAGGATGGTCTTGTTACAAGTCAGCCTTGCCTCCACACTGGTGGGCACAGCTCCCTACCTCATCCCTACTGCTGCAGGGTGCAGCTCCTCACCTGCAGGTGCATTGTCCAGCATCTGTTGCTTGTGTTACTCCACTTCCAGGGACCAGACATACTCAGCTGGCTCTGCACAAGCTTTCCTCTGTCCAGGTCGTAGGGCAGGGAGCAAGTGTAACCTGGTAAGCTGGCAGCTGAAGCGCCTGCTGGAGGGCAGCCTGGATCATAGAACATAAGCATACAGCACTGCTTTGGTTATATTGCACTATCTTACTGTCAGCTCAACTGGTTAAGTACTTTATCCAGACCCTCTTAAGCCCCTGTCATTAGCAGCACAGCGCTCAGTTCGAGCTGTACATCTGTTAACACAATATATCCAGATACTTCCCAGCTCACAGCACACAGTGCTGTGCCTTTTGAGCAGGCCTTTGCTAGGCCTTTGTGCTGCGCAGACCTCCTGCCATACTCCAGCTCTCCTGCTGCTGGAGAGGCATATCTGCAATACGAGGCTGCAGAGACTTACCAGGCTGGCATTTTGGCATTGTATTGGTTTAGTCCATGACAGCAGTTTGGCTGAGTAGCAGCAGGAGGAAAGGGATGCTCTGTGTGTGTGTGTGTGTGTGTGTGTGTGTGTGTGTGTGTACAGGAGTGTTGCCTTGTCTGCCTTCCCACTACACCCTGCAGATGGGCTGTGAGCAGACACAAGGGTGTTGCTAAGGGCTCTCTGCATCTGTTTAGGCACTCCTGGGAGACAGTGGGAGTCAGAGTTGGAGCTCTGGACCTGACAAATACAGCCGTCTGGACCGGGAGCTGCAATTAGCAAATTCACACTTCATCGAGGAGCAGCAAGCGCAACAACAGGTAAGGCAGCTGGCACCGTGTGGAATAAATAGCTTTGCTGCCAAATGGGTGCCAGGGGATGAGGTACAGGCAGTGAGAGCCAAAAAAAATCCAGTCCTTGGCTGGTCTGGATCCAGGAGTCTGACAGTCATCTTCTTTGCTTGTGGCATGTATCTTTGCCTGTATTTCCTGTACAGCACAGCTTCGGATGCATCTTGGCACTGAGCTTTTAACCTTTGAGGCATGAGGCTTCTGCTCTGTTTAGAAGGCAGTCACCATGATCTGGAATATGTAGCGTGCTGAGCTGTAATAGTACAAGGACTGCTGAAATCCTTGGAAGAGTAGAAATGTTGCAAACAGAAAAGAACCCGTTTCTCTTATGCAACTTCCCCTGGTTAAAAAGTGTTTGCTGTTGTTGTTGTGCATCTCCCTCGGAACAGGCTGGGAGCAGGAGCACGCGCCTGCTTCCTTTTCCTGCCTTTGTCACCGTGAGATTAGTGAGAAAGCCTGAGCTTTGGGAGAACCCCTGGCGAGGCACTTCCCAGCTGACACTTCCCAGCTGACAGGGGAGTTTGCCTGGAGAAGTGCCCAGGCCGGGCACAGACCATGTGCAGCAGCCCAGCCAACTACAGGCCTTTACTCAGGCAGCTTCTCAGAGGTGGCAAACTGCTAAATCTCCTGACCTGTGACGCCTCCCCAGCTTCCAGAAGTGTTTTACCTACTGACTCTAGGAAGATAAATAGATTCAGAAATAGGTAACTAGGGTAAATCTAATCCTTAGCATGACTCTGTCCTGAAAATGACTTAAAACATCAGCAGACTTATTCCTTTGGCACATGGAGCCAGGCTGGCTATTTTTAGCTGTAGAAGCTGCAACAGCCTCTTACTTGCATTAACCCCTTGTTAGCTGCAGCATGTTCCAGGTTGCATTTCCCAGGCACAGCATCAGCATGGCTCCCAGATGTCCTCTGCTGTACTTGCTTACCTTGCCAAGGTTTTGATGACCAGTTCCTGTGGCTTCCCACAGTCGTTTTAGCTGTGGGTGCGTTGTGGCTGAGCTGAGGCCGGATTTGCAGGGATGTCTGGAGGCTGCAGCCTGCTGTGCCATGGGGATGCCATGCCACAGAGGCTTTCCTATGGCTGTCACCTCTCCAGCATTTCTTAGGAACACGGTCCTCATTCCTGGTGGCTTAAGTCTGAGCCCAGGCCTCACAGCTGATGTTGGCTGAGCAGCAAGTGCCTGTCCACTGGATCAGCTGGTTCCAGCCCAGCTGCAGGAGGCAGACCTGTAACTGCCCGTTTCCCTTCTCTCTGGCCCCAGTTGATTGTGGAGCAGCAAGATGAGCAGTTGGAGCTGGTCTCTGGCAGCATCGGGGTGCTGAAGAACATGTCCCAGCGCATTGGCGGGGAGCTGGAGGAGCAAGCAGTGTAAGTGTGGGATGTGGCAACAAAAACCCGGTATGGGGTTGGCTGCAACACAGCTGGAGGTCCTCAAACACCTCTCTCTGCCCCTGTTAGGGCCTTGAATTTACTGGTCCCTCAGGCAGCCTTTGGAAAGCATTTTGTACTGTAACCTGCAAGGATCCAGCTACAGCCTCCTTCATTTGAAAGCCTGCACCTAGGGCAGGCTTAGCTGCCAGCTTACCTTTCCTCCTCTTTTCTTTGCACATGCTCCCCCTCAGGCAGCCAGCAGACAAATAAGAGAGGGAGGTGCCGTGTAAGGGGGGATACTGAGCACTTCCCCACTCCGCAGGGTTTTGCGCTGATAACTGCTGGAGCTGGGAGCTCTCAGCTCTGCCTTGCCGCCCTGAAACACACAACACAGAGGTGCTCTTCATCATTAAAGCTAAAAATAGCCCTCACCCACGCAAAGGGTTAAAGGGCAGCTCACAAAGTCATTTGCATCCACCCATTTACATATAAATTAGATTTCTCCCCCAGTTCTTGTCCTTTGCAAACAAGTTCCCAGTTGTGCAGGCTAACAGCAGTGCTTCCAGAGAGGCCTGAAGGGTTCATACCTAAAAACCCTCCTTGTTTGGCTGGTAGGAGTCTGGAGGGCCTTGTCACTTGTGACGTGGTGTCATCTTTGATGGAGAGGGGGGGACTTTAAACCCACCCCCTGTGTGAAGTCCTGCAGTGTGAGAGTCCTCTGCTCTCACAGAAGAGGTCAGTGTGGTATGTCTGTTTTCAGATAATCACACAAGCCATCGGTGCTTGCTAGACTAGCACACAACTACCACAGAGAGGTTTTTACAACTCTTCCTTTCTCCCCACTGAATGAAGGTTTAACAAGTGCCCTAGAAATCCAGATTGAAGGAAGCTGCCCTTTTAAACACATTAAGCTTTAAAGTCCCACTGTCTGGAGACAATTGGATTTGTACCTTGATTCTGGATGTGCAGTGGCATTGATAAAGCATGGGTTCAGGAAGGCTTTGAGATTCATTGCAGTTGCTGGGTGGAAGAAGTAGAGCGGTAACTTCCACGCAGAGCTTAAAAAGCACCTTCAAAGCAATTGCAGATCTCATTCCCGCTTGATACATGACTGAAACAAGATTTTAGCTTCCACTGCAAGCCTTGAACAAGAAAAGAGATTTAAAGTCCAAGCTGGCACCTAGATCTAACTAGTCCCTGCTAATCACAGATTATAAATGAGACTTTCCTCTTGTAAGGAGGAAAGCCCCCCCCTCACCTTGCAGATGCATGAGAGCTCAGCCCCAAACACACAGTAGGGATCAGTCTGACAGGAGTCCCAAATTACTTCCTGCTTCCCACCAAAGCGGAGCTGCTGCTTCAGCAGGTTTTTTCTCCCCTTGGGTGCTTCCAGGAGATTGAGGCATGCTCATTTTCTCTGCCAAAGTGTGATACTCTGATCCCATCAATGTTTTGATCAGTGTGTGTGAGCGCACTGCGAAATCCCAAAGGGTTGTGCCACCTGCTGACCAGTGTCCTGCTTCTGTGTCCCCAGGATGCTGGATGACTTCTCCCACGAGTTAGACAGCACTCAGTCGCAGCTTGATAACGTCATGAAGAAGCTCGCCAAAGTGTCTCACATGACGAGTGGTAGGTCCTGGGAAGTGGGATCCAGTCCTGGAAAGGCAGGGATAAGCCCTCAGATCTTCAGGCTGGGACACTGTGTGCTCCCACCCACCCAGCAGAGGGGAGGGAGCAGCTCTCAGTGCTTGAACAAGGGGGAAGACTTCCAAGCCCGGCAGCTGCCTTTGTTTTATTTACAGATGCCTTTCTATTTATGCCGCTACTGCTGGGAAAATCCCCCTCTGGCTGGTAGGAGGGGAAGCTCTGCAGCCTCCTGCTCTGCTGCAGTTTCCCGTGCTGCCAGTGGAACAAAAGCTGTCAAGGTGCCATTAACCCTGGTCACTGTGTGGCCTCCCCCACACCGGAATGCCTGCGGCAAGCCCCTTCCCAAATCCCACCTGCCCTCGGGCTGCTGGCGCCTGCAGGCCTGTCGTTGATCAGATCATCTGGTGGAGGAAAGGGCTGAATTCTGTGCTGAACCCAGAGAAAAGTCCTTATAAGGCTGTGCCTGAAGCCGGTGGGCTGGCGGAGTGCCATGGGCAGAGCAAACAGGAAGCCCGGCGTGCCTGCCGGGAAGTCCCCCGCCGCCAGCTCGCCTCTCCCAGCGCTGGCAGAGTGCCTGGCGTCACCTCCTCCAGTACCCCTCTCCTGTGGGTGCTCAGGTACCTTGTGGAGGCAGCAGCCAACCAGGAGGAGAAGCATTCCTGCTGTGCAGGATTAGGCTGTCCAGGGGATTTATGAGGTGGTGGGAATACAGCCCTAGAGAGACCGCTTGGAGTGCTGACAGTGCACTTTGGGTCACCAGTAGCCCAGCAGCAGCACAACTGCTGGCAAACCTTGTGTATCTGCCCTTTCCTCTGGGAAAACCCATGAATCATTGCAGAGTGTTTCCGAGTATTGTGAAAAGAGCATTTCTGCTGGCATCTCATACCAGGGCCGACCAGGAGGGCTCTTCCCAGGGTAGCTGCTGAGCCCAGGAGTTGGGGGGTGCCAGCACCCTGTTCCCACTGCTGCACCATTGTCTCACAGGGGCAGACAGCAGCTCTCAGAGGCAATGCAGTGTTGAGCCAGGGAAGTGTAAAGATGTCCAGGGAAACCTTATTCCTGGGCCTCTCCTAAGGGGAGCTGCCACAAGCTCTTCCTGGCAGAGCTCTTCAGGGCAGCTTTCACCAGATCCCTTCTTGTTCCTCTAGCAAACAGATTACTCCATGAATGAACAGCGAACATGGCAGCTCTCTGCTTGTTCTTTCCAATTGTTTTTGAACCAGCTTATCAAATCTGTTTGAACTTAGTTGGGGAGAAACCTCAGAATTCCCACAGCTGTTCCCGAAACCCGATGTATCCTGGAGGAGAAAGGCTGTGGCGTTGTATCTTGCAGTAAGGCATGCTCCCACAGGAACTGCTGTTTTGGCTTGTTATGGCTTTAAGCTTCTTATGGCTTTGAGCTCCTAGCAGTACAACAAAGGAAAGTGCTCCCCCAATTTTCCTTCCCCACTGTAGCAGGAAGACTGATGCTTCCTTTTCCTTCCAGATCGACGGCAGTGGTGTGCAATTATCGTACTCTTCATCATCTTGCTGGTGGTGCTCATCCTGTTCCTTGTCCTGTGATGGACTGAACTTCCTTGGACGCCCCCTCCCCGCCCCCTCGCCCCGGCAGCACGGGGAAATGAAACTCTCACTGTTTCCGTCCGCCCACAGAGATCCCCGGCAAGAAAACCCGCACCCAGCTCTCACCATCCTCCTCCGAGGACTGCGGCTCGGCTTTGCCGGCGTCTCACTTGGCTCCGGGGAGAGGGGCTGGAGGACTGGAGCTGCCTCCTCCCCTGGTGCAGTGTGATCTGGACCTGAGCTCCAGGTCTGGACCCGGGGAGCTGGAGGAGGACTCAAGCCGTGCGTGTCCACCCGGTGCAGGTAGGAGCTGGTCGCGGCGGTCCCGAGCTGCCTGCGGTGGAATGCGGACACAGAGCAGCGAGCCCTGGGGAGGACGGGACAGGGAGGAGGAATTAATGAATTCACTGAGCATTACAAACCGCGCCGCCACCGCCAGCCACGAGCATTACCAGGCAGCGGGAGGCCCGGCCACACTCCCCCTGCCCCACGCCGCCTCCCCCCTGCCGCGGGCCAGCTCTGTGCCGCCGACTCACCGCTCAGAGAGCACGTTGAGTCCGCAGCAGAGCCTTCCCACCCTCCACACCTGGGCAGAAGGCAGAGCCGGAGGGTCTCGTGTCCTGCCATCGGCCACCCGGTCACCGTTAGACACCCCAGAGCTTTAAACTTGGGTTGCTGCACGCCAAGCACTGGCAATCAGCGGTGAGCTGGAGAGGGAGTGTCTTAAAGCTTTTAAAATTGCCTCCCTCATTATGCAGCCTCTGAAGCTCGTTGACTGATGCTTTCCTTGCCCTTGTATAACTGAGTCACTGCTTCTGTTTAACAGCTGCTTCCCTTTGGCAAGTGATTTGTCAGGTCTAAAATAACTTATTTTTTTTAAGGAAAAAAAAAACTGAAGATTTTTTTGATGACCGAGCCATGTTCTCTCTGCGGGTGCACGACATGCATGATCAGAGGAACAGTGCTCAGTGATGTATTTTAAGTGCATATGAACTTGTAAATATGATGTTTTAATTTTTCCCAACCATTATTTTTTGGACACCTCCATTTTAAGCAACCAAAAGGCTGGAGATTCAAAGCTATATCATGTTCCCGTATTCCTTCCCAGTCCTTTTGTTACCTCCAAGTTGTTTGTCACTTGAGTTGTCTCAGCAGTGTCAGGTAGCCGGGTTGTCTCCCTCGTACAGGGAATGTGGAGTAGCCAGGTGGGCAATACCAAAATGTGGCAAAGAAAGCTCACCTGGGCAAGTGTCACTGGGGAGGAACAGGCAGGCACAGGGGTCATGCTGCAAGCACTGATAATGGGATGTGGGGTGACCCTTCAGGAAAGCAAAAACGGTTTCTTACTCCAGTCTGCTCCCATATTTAAGCTGCAAACATGAAAAGACTCAGGACAGCCTGGCTTATGGCTCCCAGATGGGCTGGGGGAGGAAGTTAATTGGCACTGACACAAAGACTTCTGCTGAAATTGCAAATCGCCCCCAAAATCGTCCTCCCAGCCTTGGAAGCTCGCCGCCGGATGGCTTTACCTCCAGGACTGAACACTCCTCCCCACCGGGTTTGTGGCTCCCTCCAAGGTCTGTGTGCCCCCTGTCCCCACCGCTGGATGCACAGCTGGTGGCACCGTGCCTTCCGCAGCCGGGTGCCGGATGGGGGCCCAGCCGAGCTGCCCTGCGCCCACCCGGGTGCTCTCGCCGTTAACGCACACGCGGTGCCCTCGGTGCCCACCCGCACTCCTCATTTCACAGTGGCTCCTTATCCTTGCAGAGCATCCCGTTTCCTTTGGTTACGCTGCAAGGAATAGGGGTGTCTGCTTTCCAGGGCTGGCTATCGCAGTGTCTGCACCGCTCTCCTCGGGCTTATACCTCTCCAAGAGCAGGTTCCCGGGAGCGTGAGTCTGGCCATGGAGCTGGGCTCGCTGCCGGACGGTGTTTGCACACCTCCGATCCCTGCATTGTTGTCGGTGTGGTTGTGCATCCTCTGGGAATGACTCCTGTGCAGGACTGCTCCTTCAGTAGTCCAGGGGGTGGCCCAGCTTCTGGAATCACTGCACACCACCCAACTGTCTCTGGTCCCTTTTCCTGTGTATATTTGCTTTTCTGTCGCTGGTGGTGCCCCTCCCGTTAACACTAAATAAAGGTGCAGCAAGTGCAGATCTCCAGTCCTCACCTGACTCTTGCTCCAGGACAAGCAGAGGGTCCTGTGGCACTAGGGAGTGGGGAAAACTCTCACCAGCATCTGCTGGGCATCACCCTCCTGGCTTTTGAGGCACTGCAGGTTTTGGGGTCCCCTCTGCACTGTGGGCAGCTGTGCTCAGATGTTGGGGATGCTGCAGGCAGGTGTGCCCAGATGTGGGACACCACCATGCAGAGGGCAGCCATTGCTGCCATGCCACCTCTGTCTGCTGGAGAGACACATTTTGGCACGAGTTTCCCCTTCCATGGCTGGAAAAAAGAACTCAAACTCTCCAAGACTGAGGTCCTCCCCACCCCCAGCAGCGCCATGGGAAAACAGGCACCCACCCCCGGCCCATGCCAGCAAGCAGAACCCCAGCCCCTCCATGCCAGCCGCAAGCCAAGGGCAGTATTTCATTATTCCAGAGATATATTTTTGGGTTTCAGTTTGAAATAATTTAAAAGAACCCCACCAGCCTGTGGGTGCAGGTTGGCAGCACTAGCAAGGAGCCCCCTGTCTCCTGGGGTCACAGAGATGGGGCATCCCCACACTGGTCACCTCAGTGCCCGGCAGGACAGACCTGCCTGGCTCTGTCAGGGCTGGGCTGTTCCCTGTCCCCACACTTGGGGCAGCTTCTGGAGACACTGGACACTGTCTGGGGGGGGTCCTTAATCCTGGTCTGTCTCCAGGGGGGGCTGGAAAAGCCGCCTGCCCCCACTGCAGTGGTGAGCCAAGTACTGCACCGGAGCAGGGCAGGTCCTGGTGCCATGAGGCAGCTTGGTCCACGCTGTGCCATCCTGCAGCATCCTGGGACATCGTTGGGATTTCATTCTCCTCACGCTGAGCTTTGCAGGAGCCGTGCCAGGGCTACCGTGGTGGCGGGCGGTGCCGGAGCACACGGAGGGACAGGGTGTCCGCCTGGAGCAGCAGCTCACGGATGCGGGGCAGCCCCAGCCCCGACACGGCCGCGCCGTTGACCTGCAGGATCTCGTCCCCCACGCCCAGGAGCCCCGCGTACAGCTTGGCCGTGCCGGCATCCGCCATCTCCTGCACGTACACGCCTGTGGAGAGGGATGGGGTGGGTGAGACCCCACCCTGCCCCTCGCAGCCTGGGTGCCCAGGGGCTGCACAGCAACTGACTCATGATAAACGGCCTTTGGGACAGGCTGCGTGTCCCAAGCCATGGACTGATGGACACGGGATTGTGCGTGGCTGAAGCCACGCGTGGCAGCATCCCCCCATCCACTGCCACCCCTCTGGGGCTCAGCGGGGATGAAGCAGTCCCCTCCACCCATCCCCAAGCTCGCTCCTGGGAGGGATGAGAGCCACCATGGAGGGACCGTGTGTGCAGTGCCAAAGCTTTGGGATGATCCCTCTGTACCTGTGTCGGGCCGGCCGTGCCCAGAGGTGACAGAGAACCCAAAGGCGCCGTTGGGGGGTCGCTGCAGCTCCAGCTGGCTGGTGCCATCAGGGAACACCTCCACCACGCGTCCCACCGCGCGCAGCCGGCCGGGTGCCCCAATGTCCTCCACGCTCAGCGAGCGCCGCGGCCCCGAGCCCCCCTTCCTGTGGGGAGAGGGGAGATGGGGTGAGTGGGGACACAGGAAGCTTCTGGGGACCAGAGGATGGGGCCCCCAGCTGCACTGAGCCACCACATGTGGCTCAGCACCCAGCAACAGCCTTCCTGGGCACAGTGGGGATGTGCTGGGCCCCATCCTACCTGTCGGCTGTGGTCTGGGGCAGGAGGTAGGCGCTGGCACGGGGTGCTTTGCCCAGGAGGGGATGCAGGCTCTGGATCGAGGAGGCTTTTTGGGGCTGGCAGAAGGGTGACACCTGGGGAAAAGCACCTGGCTGAGATGAGGACAGTCACACTCACTGTGCAGCACTGCAGCGCTTCACCCACCGATGTGCTGAAGGAGCAGGGGTCACTGGGGCATCCCACCCCCTGGGAGCACTCCCAACCCACCACTGAGGAGGGAGGAGCCAGTGTCCCCAGCCTGGGCCAGGATACCCGCCTAAGGAGCAGCATTTCCCAGGGAGGCACCTTCCTGCTCACCTGGCTGGGACACATGACCCACAACTGCAAAACAAATTACTCCCGACTCCCCACCCCAAAACACTCCCCTGCAGTTCCTCCTTCCCCATTCCACTCCCCCGTTGGCTCTCAGCTTTTCAAACCCAGCAGGTTTGAGGTGGCACATGCCCCCACACCCCACCAGGACCACCATGCCCAGGAATGCTCCACCCCAGCCTAGCGGGATGCCCGTCTCCCCACAGGCACACCCTGCGTGGGGTGATGTCCAAGCTCACCAGCTGCAGGGACTGCAGGGAGGGCGACTTCTTCATGCCAGGGCCCCCCGAGGGGGAGCTGCCGGGGGCTGGGAGCTGCTCCATGCTGTAGCAGCGGAAGCGGCCCAGGCGCTCCTTGGTGCTCTGGCTCAGGCTGCACAGGAGCTTCTTCAGCCCCGACGCTGAAGCGCTGCTGCCCTTGCGGCTCGCTGGCCGCCCCGGCTCCCTGGGTGGAGAGGGATGATGGTCACCCACCGTGTGTCTGTCTGGGGGGCAACAGGACTGGCAGCTGCCTCAAGGCTGGGGGCACATCCTGCACCAGCCTCTGCAGCCTTGAGAGCCAAAATTGAGGTGCACGGTGAGATCAGGGTGCAGCCGCCTCCCCACAGCAGTGACCCAGCATGCACAAGTTTGTCACCATCCGAAGCAATCCCTCCCTGTTTTCCCCATAATTTCAGGGGTTTAACATCTCTCAAACCTCCCCTGCTCTCTGGCCCAAGGGGTCACATCCTGCCAAGGGGCTCAAAGGACCCAGCACTGCCTCCAAACCCTCCTGCCAGGCTGAGACACACAGTGCCGGGCACAGGGCAGCAGGATCACTCTTGGGGAGCCCCAAGGCTGCTGATCTTCCCCAAAGGGGAGAACGTGACACTGAACAAAACACCTCCATCACATTTGCTGTAACACCCTTGGCAGAACCAGCTGTGGAGCAAAAATGCAGCTCCCCCAAACCCACACTAACACACTCCCAAACCCACACCCATACATGGGCGCACTGTCACCCTCATATTGTGGTTTCTGGGAGGTTTTGGGGACTGAAGGGTCGAGTCCCACTGGGAAGCCTCAGGGGGCTCAGCATAGTGGCATCCTGCAACGCCCAGGAGGGGTGCTTGGGGCTGCACGGTGCAGAACGCCATGGCCCCTCACACTCACCCATGTGCTGCGCTCCCAGCCGGGTGCTGCTGCTGCTGCTGCTGCTGCACTCCAGGTGTCCCAGCACCTTCCCCGGGGGGATGAGCAGCCTCCTGGGGCACGGGTGTGGCAGGGCCAGCGGTGGGGTGTGACACTGCCCCTGTAATCACAGCGAGACAGTCACATGCCGGCTTTGTTGGGGACCCCCCATCACCCCCTGCACGGGTCTCTTACCTCTGCCTGCCCCCGGGGCATCCTGCCCGTGGGTGTTGTTGCAGTTGTTGGTGGACAAGGCACGGAGGGGGCTCCCCGGGAGCCATCTGGGACTGCAGGGACTTCTCCGCCCCTCTGTGCCCCCAGGCTGGGGGGAGGCAGCGCTGCCAGCATTCCGCTCTGGGCCTTGGGATCCTTGGCTCGATGCACGGCGGCTGCCACTGGAGAAGAGGGCTTTCCTGCAAGGCACCTGGGAGCAGGCCTTCTTGATGGGGGGGGGAGCAGGGAGGTGGGTGCCTGGAATGGGGGTGCTGCTCCTCAGCTGAGAGGAAGGGTCCAGGCTCTCACTGGGCTGCTGTGGGGGATGAGTGGTGCTCCCCACCCCCTTGCTGCCCCCCAGATACCGATGTGGTTCCCCATCCTCCCGGCTGCTGGCTCTCCTCGGCGGCGGGGGGCAAACAGCCCCTGTTTGGTTTTTGGCACCACCTGAGATCCCCCCGTCCTCTGCGTGGGAGCCACCACTGGCCACACAGGTCCCCTTCCTGGCCCTCGTCTCCGGCGGTGGGGTGGCACGGGGGGCTCTGTGCCCACGAGTCCGGGGGTCCCGGTGCCCCCGCAGGTGGGGGCTGCGGGGTCCTGCCTCCTCACTGTCCGTCCGGCAGCCGTCGGAGGTGTCGGTGCTCTCCAGGGCCGAGTCCACCTCATCAATGTAGGTGACGTCCCCGATGTACGTCTCCTTGATCTTCTCAGTGTGGATGCGCTGCCGGGAGGGGAGGATCCACAGTGGGGACCCTCCGGGGCCCAGGGGCCTGATTTTGGGCTCTGTCTGGGCAGCGTTCGGCCCCCTGCTATCCCCCGGGATGCTTCTTTGTGCCGCAGGGCTGCTTTGGGCCGCATCGGCGGCAGCTTGTGCGTCCGTGCCCCGGCCGGGGGCAGCACCGAGGAAGGAGCCGCAGGCGCTGCACTTGCCCCCGGCCACGAGGTCGCCGCTCCGGGCTCTGGGCTGGCCAGCCCCGTCCCCCGGCTGCCTGCTGCCGGCTGGCTCCGGCGAGGAGAGCGCCGAGCCCAGCGCCCGCCGGTGCCGCAGCTGCAGCCGCTCCAGGTACCGCACCTCGGCGTCGCGGGCCGACTCGTCCTCGAAGCGGACGCGGGATGGGGACGGTCCCCGCGGCCGCCGCGGCCGCCCGCAGCTCGACTCCCCGCTGGACGAGTCGCTCAGGCTCCCGCCGTCCCGCGGGGCCACGCTCGGCCTCCCGCTGGGCTCCCTGCCGTGGGGACAGACAGACGGACACGGGAAAGCTGCAAGGCCTGCCCGGCTCCCTTGGGAAAGCAGGGCGGGAGGGGGAAAACCCAGCGCAGAGGATGGGGCAAGGAGGAAAGTTCACCCGATGCTCCCTGGCTGTGTACAGTCCTGCTCCCGCTCCAGCCTAAAGCTGGAATCTGGAGAGGCTGCGGCACTATCCCGCTGCCACAGCCCAGCCTCCATCACCCTTCCCCTGCCCCTAGGTGTGTGGTTAATCATTCCGGGAACACCACATTGCACATGACCCAGCACACACGGTGAGATGCCGC